TAATATTGATATTAAAGATAAAACTTATTTTTGTAATTTTTATATAAATTAATAATAAAAATATTTAATAAATACACTTTAAAAAAAAATTTAATATAAATTACTAATTTAATATTAATTCAGCACTGATATAAAATAAAAAATGTCACCTTATTGTTGTATAAACAATAGACCCTACCAAAAGCACTTTTCTATTACGAATTGACAAGTGTATAACGTAAGCTGTGCAAAAAGGGTTGATTCGTGTCTATTTTTAGTTGAGGGGTTGATTTGCCACCATTCACTGAATACAGGGGTTGATTTGCCTTTTTACCTTTTTTTCAAAATTTAAATTATTTAAGTGTAATTTTGATATATTGACCAATACACAAAATACCAACTGATACATTAAAATTTGATTGAAAAAATGAAATTTGACTAAAGTAGATTTTAAATCTATACCATTTTGTTTTAATTGAAAATTAATTTGTACTGATCATACCAACTAATACAAAACAATATTGACCTCTTTGCACATTATATTTAAAGATAAGCAAGTTATGATAGAAAAAATGTTATCTCTTATTACATAATTTAAATTAAAAAAATTAAAGTGTTATTTTATACATTAAATAATAAATTATATAATACATGATAATTTTTTAAAAATATTTTTTTATTTACCTCAAAATTTAAATTTAAAATATTAATATAAAAACTTAAATTTTTAAATATTGAGTCACCTTCAAGAGACTGTTACTAGAGTTTATTTATTTATTTCTTCGGGGGAATGGGGAATTGGTCGGCAGTAGAGTTGAGGAATAAAATCCAATATTGCTTCTAAATTCAAATATAATTTTAAACTTTATTTAGAAGACAAACATAGCAAATTTATGAATGTAGACGGCGAAGCTAGGGGGTACTGGTTCCTAAGCCCCCTAAATTTGTGAAAAATTATTAATATAGTTTATTAATTTTTATTTTTATTATTTTTATCTTTAAATTTTTATTTATTTTTATAAAATTTTTAATTTAAAGTCTTACATTTTATAGCTATAATCATATATTGAAATGGCATTCTATTCAGAAATCTTACCATATTTATTGCAGTAAAATTTCCTAAGTTCTTTTTTTCACAAAATTTAAAAAATAAAAAAAAATTGGGTCGACATTATTATCTTGGGAGATCTTGCATGGACAAGGATAGGAAAAAATTTTATTAATTAGAAAGGAACCAAATCTAACTTTGAAAATCAAATTAAAATGGCAATGGGCCAAGCTTGATTTGACTTGTAACATTAAAAAGAGTATACACATTGGTAGATCAAATTTTATAGAATGGCATGTGGCATAAGGCATCTTTATTATTTAATTTTAAAGGACATAAGTAACATGAAAAACATCTTTTCTATTTTGCCAATAATTTAAATAATTTAATAATATTTTTTTAAAACTCAAAAAGTTATAACTTAATTGATAAATGGGTTTACTCACATTTTAGGTTAAATCTCCGATTCAATCCCTCAACTTTTATTTTTGAACTAAATTTACCCTCAAACTTCAAAAAGTACTAAAAAATCCTTGAACTTCAATTTTTGAGACCAATTTTGTCCTTTTGTCAATTAAGTGCTGATGTGGTGAAATTCTTCGTTAAGATTTTCAATTTCTATCAATATTGAATATTACATGGAAATAAAATAGGTGATATGGTATCTTTTAATTATAGAAATATTACAATGTAGCAACATGAATATAATTTAATAAATAATTATTAAATATAAATTTCTTCCTTTCTTTTTCTTTTTTTCTCCCTTCTCTTTTCTTTTCTCCTTTCCCTCCCTATTGGGTCTGAAGGAATGTAGCACGCCTAGGTTCGATGGGACCCAAGCTCAAGGTACCTTCGAACCCAGCACACCTAGGTTCTTTGGAAGCTTCTTCATTCTTGCTTTTTCTTCTTTTTTTCTCTTTCAGTATTTTTGAAAGAAATCCCATGATTTGTTCTCATTGGTTCTCATTTTCTTCTTTTTTTCCTCTGTTTCTTTGTTCTTCTGATTCTTTGTTGGTTGCAGTTATGCTTGGCTATCTTGGTATGGGATTTAGAGTTTTGTGTGGCTTCTGCTTGCTTGAATTTCAAGATCTAGCTATTGTTGGTGTTGATTGAAGGGATGTTGTGTTTTTTGCATTTTCCTTTTCTTTTACAGATTTGGTATAAGTTTGCAATATGATTGATTTGTTGAATCTTTACAAATCTGGTATAAGTTTGTAGTATAATTGATTTTTTGAACGAGATCTATTGGCTATTATTATTGTGCGAGGAACCAGATTTGGGTTCCATTAAAGAGGAGGTTTGGGGAAGAAGGAGATGGTGATTGGAGTGGTAATGGATAATTGGAGCAATGAGGGATGATCGGTGCTCAATGGGTTGCAAGATGAAGAGGCATCTGAGAATAGAGAGAGATGAGAAAGGAGAAAAAGAGGGGCTAAAAGATGAAGATGGGGGTATTCCTCATAAATTCTTTAATTCCAGTATTGATAGCTTACTTTTAATCAAATTAGTTGATTCGAAGACATCTTAGCCATTAAACAAAAAATATATATATTTTTTAAGTAAAAGTAAAAAGTCTAAGGGGTGTTGTTTTGATGTTACATAAATAATTATTAGTTAAATTAATTGAACAAATTAAATCCTCTTAATTAAAAATAATAATAACTATCAATAATTATATAATAAATATTAATTATCAATTATCAATAATATTTAAACAGTCAATTAAAACTCTAGTCCTTAAGAAATATTCTCTCTCATTGCATAATCTAAAATAAAATAAAATAATAAAAAATATTCCCAAGACCCAATCAGACATGAACCGACTAGCACCCTTACATGAGGCTACCAGTTAATTTAGTTAAGAATAAATCTCAAAGAGTTGAATTTGTACCCATAAAGTTTGGTTGACACTTGAAGACGGTAGATGTAATTGCAAGTTTCAGGGGCTTAAAAAAAGTGATTGTGGACATAGGCATAGCAAGCAGAGGTGGCTGAACATTTCATGGTTCAAGTTTTCTTTTTTTTTGACGGCAAGAAATGGTTAGATTAGTCTTAGTATCTGTTGTTATATAGGAGGGTCAAACTTTTAAATTTGGTGCATTTCACCTGTTATCCAATAAATAACGTAATCACCATTGATCCACATGAGCGACTGCTTTTATGGTTCAACCGTTCAAGTTTGAAGTACTCGGAGATGGACGGGAGGCTCAGCGTATTTGGGCTTAAAGTTTTCATTCTTAATTTCATGACTTTGACCCAAGTTGTGGAGTCAGTGGGCTTTCCCATGACAAGTCGGTAAAGTTAGAATTGAGATGGAAGAATTCTGTGTGGCCCATTAGCCCCAAGAAATGGTAAATGCAATTACATGGCTATTTAAAAAAAAGAAAAAAAGAAAAAAACCTTTTCGGAGGATTATTTGCTTGCTTTTGCAATTTATCAAGATTTTAACTTTTAACCTTTAACTCCAAGGGTGCGTTATCACTTTTTTTTTTTGTAGTGTAATATCATCCCTTCGCCCCTTCCAGGGACAGAGTCGGGAAATTCGATTAGGGGGGGGTGAGAATTATTGTTGAAAATTTGAGCTTTTAAGTATTTTGTAAAATAGTAATTTGTTTTTTTGAAAATCTTTTTTATTAGTCTTTTTCATTGATATATTCTTAAAAAAATATAAATATATTTATCCAAATAAAAAACAAAATATCACAATAAATAAATAAAAATATCACAATAATAAATTATGTAATGATTGATGGAAAAATAAAAAATAAAAAAAGAAGAAAGAAACATGTTTGTTAGCCAAATCTATAAAAAAGGAAGGGAAACACTACAAGATTATATTATTTCAATAAATTTATATTGAAAAAGTTAAAAACAACATATTTTTAAAGTAAGAATGAAAGTATTTTGGGTTTTATTGAAATAACATAATTTTGGAGTGTTTTTCCTTTTAATTTTTTGAAGTTTATTTTAATAAACATTAATATTATAAAAAACTGTTAGAATATTTTTTTAAAAAAGTAAAATTTAACTTAGGTTGTTTTAACACAAAAAAAAAACATAATTATAAATTCAATCACAAAAGGAAAAAACCTATAACGATGCCAAATAAACAAAAACTTTAAATTATTATATAGAATATTAAGAAAGATGAAAAAAAAATTATAAATTTAAAGTTATTTAAATAGAAAATTAAATTTTGTTTTTATTTTGGCTTAATAGATGAGAAAATGTTTAAGAACCTCAATTCTAAATTAATTAAATTAATATAAAGTTCATTTCATTTTGAATCACATCCTTACTTTTTGAAAACTCTTTATTTAAATTATAAATATTTTCTCTACTTTTGAAATGGTTATTGAAATTCATATTATAAAAACAAAATTTTTAGCAAATAAAAGTTAGAGTACTAAATTAAATGTTTTTTAAAAGTTTAGGGGGGTGGCTGGCCCCCCTTGTCCTTCATTGGCTCCGCCGTCCCTGGCCCCTCCTGCTCCCTACTAAGATCCCTTCCCAAGATCCCTTCTTTTAATCCACACAAATAATGATGAACAACAAGACTAATTATACTAACGACAATTACATATATATGCATGTATATAAGTAGATCTCCCCTCTTAATTAATCTAGACATATAATGACGGACAACAAGACTAATTATACTATGATCGGCAAATATTTGCTTAGCTGCGTCTCGGATTACCCTTTCCACGTCGTCCTGGATGCATGGACAATAATATTGTTGAATCCGATTGTTCTTATACCACATCCACGACCACAAATTCTTCGAGATCCAGTGGCATGTTGCCTCCATAAGGACTGCCTGGTGCGTGGTGGCTGGTTGGGCTAGCCACAGCAGGGCTTGTCCAGCCTCCAGATGGAGAGAGTGGCGCTTGGTGGCTGCTAGGGCTAGTCGCAGCAGGGATTGGACTACCTCCAGATCCCTCCCAAGAGGAAAGCTCGAGCCCCACTGGGCGGTTGTGGCTGTTGGCAGCCGGACGTCGTCTTGGGTCATAAAGAGATAAAAGCAACATAAGTCTCTCACACAGACACCAAGAGAAGGCAAGAAAAACGAGAAGGCAAGCAATGACAATCACAACAACCTCGTTACTACTCAGACCACTTCCATTGGCTTGGAAATGGCGGTAGTTGAAATCAACACTAAAATTCGACATTTTGGTTGATTGAAACATAGTGCAGAGATCAGAGGGTTTCCCTGGGAGAAGAAGGAATGTGAATGGAACTATGGAATAAGGATTTGGTGCACAGCTTTGGATGATACAGAACGGTTCGCAGGGTCACTCTGTCTCGGTTTTTATTTTATTATTACTAACGTGAATGAAACTCTGGGAGAGCTTTTTCATGGGTGATTACCAGCGCATACCTGTGGGGGTGGGGTCAACATATATAGGAGGGGCCGGATTTTCTTTTTTTTTTTTAGTCCCTAACTATCATATGAACGTCCAAGTTGATTTTTAAATTAAAAAGATTTTTAATTTGGCCTTTAAAATTAAAAATTTTGCTCCAAATTAATCTCTCGGTTAAAAATCCATAGATGTGTCTATTATTTGATAAAAGAAAGATGACATATAAAAATATTTTGACACATAAGATTTAATGGTGAAAATAATGATGACATAAGAAAAAGAATCTTAAAAAATTTCTTCTTCTTTTTTTCTTTTCTCACCTTTTTTTTTTTCTCTTCCCCATTTTTCTTCTACTCACTACAAAAAAAATGATTTTTAGTGGCAGAAATTTGTGATGAATTTTGAAATCATCACTATAACTTATCATAATTGTGACAGATCTAAAAAATTAGTCACAAATAGATACATATTTAATGATGAACAAAAAAATTCATCATAAAAAATATATTTCATTATCGAAAAATACTCATAAAGATAAAATAAGTTTTTGTCGATAAAAATCATCACTATAATGCATTACAATTATGACAAAATTCTAATATTGGTCACATATACCTTACACATTCAATGATGACCAAATAATTTAGCATTAAAAAATATATTTTGTCACTAAAAATTTTTAATTTTCTCTAATCAATGCATCCCACATCAATAAAAAACACATAAGAGAATAAGGTTTTGCACTATAAATATATCCCACATCGACAAAAAATATTTAAGAAAATAAATTTTTGCACTATAAAACATATAAAACTCAATAAAACTTGTGATTAGTTTGAGCCTGATTAATTTTAATTGGGCTTGATTAATTTTAATCGGATTTGATTAATTTTAATCAAAATTGATTAGTATTGAAATAATAATACTTTTTATTAAACTTTTGTGATAAATTTATATATTATTTTTTTGTGACAAAATTTTTGTTAAAATATTTGTATTGTAATTATATAAATATCGTTTTTATTTAATATCAATTTTAATAATTAATAACTAAATTTTGCATCATAATTGCATTTGTTACGAATGTTTTTTTATGACGAATAAAATTGTTATAAATAACTTGTTAACAATGTCAATTTTTTTTTATCACTATAAAATTATTTTTGTGACAGGTATTTAATTTGTCATTAAGAGCATTAGTGACAAGGGTTTTATTAACGGTTTAAATTTTATCACTAATAATAATTTGTGACGAAAAATAAAGATTTAATGATCAATAATTTAGTCACTAAATGTAGATTTTGTTGTAGTGACTCTCTTTCCTTTCTCTTTTGCAAACTTTAAATCTCGATTTGGATTGATGGATTTGGAGGGGAAAAGGAGGAGAGGGAGGGGTAAATGTGTTACTTGGTGTGTTTATTTTTCTTCATTAATGGAGAGGAAGGAGACGAATGGGCGATGAAATCTCCTTTACTCCTTTGTTTTCCATCTTTCTAAATTGGCCTTCTAAATTAGAGAGATTGCATGAGATTTGATATACACATTTAATATTTTTAAAATTTTTTAAAAATAAATATATAAAAGTAATTTATTTTAATTTATTTTAATTAATAAATTTTAAATATTTTATTTTATTTTTCTTTAAACTATTTAATTAAATAAAAATATTATCCTTCTTACTCTTCTATTTTCATTTTTCTAAACAAAATTAACATCAATCCTTCTTTCCCTTTACTTCTCTTACCTTTCTTCTCCCTCTCCTCCTTTTCTTCCCTTTACTAATAAGACCTTCTGACATTAAATCCAAACATCAACCCAGATGAAGCATCAAATCTAATGTCTGCATAAACCCTATGCTCTCTAATTCAAGAAAATGCCTAAATTTGGGAATAAGAAATCGAAATAAGCATGTAGAAGTCTCCCTAGAATAATTACCGGAACTTCGTCCCTCAATTCTCTCTCTCTACCTCCCAAAAAAAAACCAAAAAAATATGCCCTTTCTTATCACTTTCTTCCTCCTCCTCCTTTTCTTCTCTCACCGGACTTCTTCATATGGTTACTGGAGAAGCTGCCTCTGCTGCCGCCAATCAACAAGAAAACAGAATATGTTGAAACCCAGAAAGGGCGAGAGTTTGGTAATCGGTGGGAAGTCTTTTTTTATTTTAAAATTTAAACTGTATCAAATATTATAATTTATAAAAAATATTATAATTTTTTAATGTCATTGCGTGATCTGCTTGTTGAAGTCAGAGAAGAAGCTCGGCAATAGACTAAAAATCCTATTATTACCCTCATTGCGTTGGGGACCAACTGTGTCAACCCTATGTTGTAATCTAACCGTAAACCCACTAGCAACTCAGGAAGTGGAAACCTGAGTCCCCCTATCAAATAGTGGGAATACACAGGCATCTAGTGATCTCGAGGAGCAGAGCACGCCCTCTCCTCTACCCCAGCTGGCCTAACTAACACTCGAGACGAGATCTCGTAATTTTCTACTAAGTGACCCAGGCTATCCCTGGTCCTTAGCTCAGATCTGTACTGCTTCACCTCCTCCACTATCTCTGCATTCACATCATAATTCCTCTCTCCTCTACCCTCTACTTTTACTACGGTGATGGGTATGCTATCTACCCTAACCTCTACCACCTCATTCCTCCCCACCTCTACCACCTCTCTCTCCCCAACCTCCACCACCTCATCTCCTCTCACCCCCTCTACCGTTTTCTCCGAACTAGATGGAGATGGACTACTCTCTGCGTCCATGCTCCCATAGTCCAGGGGCATCACCTCACTCCCAACTACACTTTTTGTTCCTTCTGAGGACATTTTCTCAAACTCTGCATGAAGTAGGGGGAGGAATAAATCAGGATCCCACATAAAAAAAAAAAAAAAACCCCCTTTGTTGCACATTCAAAATCCTTCTCGCCTCTAACCCTAACTTCCTTCAAAGGACTTTAAATCAATCACAGAAAGGGAGAAAGGAGAAATGACACTTCGATTAACTCAAAATCAGAGGTTCATCATACATTACCTGATTTCGGTTTCGAAAGATTTGATGTAGAGATCCTCAGTTGTTACCGCAGTTCACGCACAGGAAACGCCCAATAAAGCTTTTCGCAAAAGTTTTGCAGGGAAAGAAATTCAAGTAAACCTCTCTCTGTAGAAAAAATGTTTATTTATACTTCTGGGCAAAATTAGATCTCAATGGCTGAGATTCATTTAATCTTACGGTTCCTATTCGCACCGTTTAGAATTCGACGGCCAACCCCAAACGATACCGTTTTGAATTTGACGGTTCATTTTTTAATTTTTGCCCGTTTAGCTGTAGCAGTTATCTTTTTACGGCCGCATTTATTGCACACGTCATTCCAAGGACAACTGTCACACCTATGTTGGTATTTTTACATGGGCCCATTTACGCCCATTTCAACACTTTTGTTCACTTTTATACATTCTCAATTTTGCAAGTGTTTCACCTCGGCTCCGATCACAATAATCATGCATTACATTTCACATCGGCTTCGGTCACAGTGACCCAGTATCACACATTTTATTTCGGCTACGGCCATTATGACTCCGGTCATTATATTTTATTATAGCTCCAGTCATTATGACTCCGGTCATCATATTTTAAGCCCAGTTCAGCACTTCTGCTTACTTTTACAATTACACTTTTTGATGGGCAAAGTGTTTTACTTCGGTTCCGGCCACAGAGACATGTTTTACTTCAGTCTTGGTTACTGCGACCACATGTCACATACTCTACCTCGGCTCTGGCCCTTATGACTCCGGTCATTATATTTTATTACGGCTCCGGCCATTATGACTTCGGTCGTCACTTTCCATCACAGCCTTGGCCTTTATAACTCCAGTTATCATTTGTTATCATGACCTTGACTCCATTATAACTCCGGTCATCATCTTTTACATTATGACTCTGGTCATTATTTTCACCACGACTACGGCCATGATCACTCCGGTCATATTCTGTTTAAGGCACCCCAGTATGACCCACTGTTACGTATTTCATTATTAGTTACGGCTATGTCTAAATTTAAATTATAGCTTTTTTCCTTATACTTCCATGACTTATCCGTAATTTCTTTGTTCATGCACTCCCCTCATTATCCCCAGCAACATCATTCACAAGTGAATGATTTCGGGGGGGGAGGGGGGAATAGTGTAAGGACAGGTCCGAGGTGCCAAGCCTCGGACTGCTACAGTAATTCCTTTATGACCGAAGTGAGAAATGAATCCAAAGCTTCCTGCTCAAATAGCTGCATGACAATGACAATAAGCATGCCAGCACCTAATTCCTTATGACGAGTGGCACAACAAGTATGGCGGACATCCGTGCATCTGAATACCTCCCAAATTCCCGATCCCGAAATGACCGACTGGATAGACACGTCAGGCTCCGATTATCTTGCTAAGTGAGCCACGTGGATACCTCACAAAAGCCTATAAATACCCCCATGGGCTACCTCAGAAAGGTAATTGAAACCAACCCTAAGCTCTTTTTATCTCCGCTCTAAAGGTAGTCCCGATTATTGCTGACTTAAGTATCGGGGTGTCTATCCCGAGCTCCACCTCGGGGCTTTGCAGGTCTTCTCGGAGTACAAGTGCGGACTGAAGAAGGACTCCTGGTTTGGTGCAATCACACTAGTCTTCGTCAGTCTCTCCTAGGCTAGCTAAAAATGAAATCTGTCACGTGAATGGAATTTTAGAGGCAGCTCATGCTGTAGAAGCGTGGACGTTGGTATGCTGGGAGTAGGGACGGCACCCGACGCTAATGGTGCCGTCCCTAATTCAATTCGTGAAAACGCGTTCCGTGAAAACGCGTTAGGATCTATATTATCTTATATGAGTTTTGGGTCAGTACGAGGTTGATAAGTTTGATTTGTTTGTCTTCTTCTTCTTCTTCTTCTTCTTCTTTTTTTTTTTTTTTTTTTTTTTAATATTATATTTCTTATTTTTAATTAATTTTTTATTATTAACTTTTCTTATTAATTCATACTTTTTGGAGTAGTATGTTTGATGAAGCTTATAAGAGATTTTTTTTTATTATTTATGAGTGATAAATTTAAATTTTTATTAAAAAAAATTAAAAATTACTTTTAGTAATAAAAAAATGAATAAAAAATAAGTGAAAAGAAA